CTGGTAAAAATTATGCATCACATGCAAAACTACCTGGAATATTGTTCTTGGTGCAGCCTGAAGTTTGTCAGGCATTTTTTTAACCCTCCTTGAGTTCACAATTAGGATATAACACTAATTAAATTTCATATGGAACCAAAAAGGAGCCCACATGGCTAAGAAAATTCTAAGGAAAAAAAACAAAACAAAATGGTGGAGGCATCAACCTACCTGATTTCAAACTACTCTACAAGGGTACTGGTACCAAAACAGAGATATAGACCAATGGAACTGAACAGAGGCCTCAGAAATAACTCCACAAACCTACAACCATCTGATCTTTGACAAACCTGACAGAAGCAATGGGGAAAGGATTTCCTATTTAATAAGTGGTGTTAGGAAAACTGGCTAACCATACGCAGAAAGCAGAAACTGGATCCCTTTCTTACACCTTATATAAAAATTAACTCTAGATGGATTAAAGATTTAAATGTAAGACCTAAAACCATAAAAACCCTAGAAGAAAGCCTAGGCAGTACCATTCAGGAAATAGACATGGGCAAAGACTTCATAAGCGAAACAGCAAAAGCAATGACAGCAAAAGCCAAAATAGACAAATGAGATTTAATTAAACCAAACAGCTTCTGCAGAGCAAAAGAAACTATCATCAGAGTGAATATGCAACCTACAGAATGGGAGAAAATTTTTGCAGTCTACCCGTCTGACAAAGGGCTAATATCCAAAATTTACAAAGAACTTAAACAAATTTATAGGAAATGAACAGACACTTCTCAAAAGCAACATTTATGCAGCCAACGAACATATGCAAGAAAGCTCCTCATCACTGGTTATTAGAGAAATGCAAGTCAAAACCACACTGAGATACCATCTCACACAAGTTAAAATGGCAATCACTAAAAAGTCAGGAGACAATAGATGCTGGGGAGGATGTGGAGAAATTAGAATGCTTTTACATTGTTGGTAGAAGTGTAAATTGGTTCAGCCATTGTGGAAGACAGTGTGGCAATTCCTCAAGGATCTTGAACTAGAAATACCATTTGATCTGGCAATCCCATTACTGGGTATATACCCAAAGAATTATAAATCCTTCTGTTATAAAGACACGTGCACACGTATGTTTATTGCAGCACCGTTCACAATAGCAAAGACTTCGCACCAACCCAAATGCCCATCATTGATAGACTGGATAAAGAAAATATGGCACATATACACTGTGGAACACTATGCAGCTATAAAAAGGATGAATTCATGTCTTTTGCAGGGACATGGAGGAATCTGGAAACCATCATTCTCAGCAAACTAACACAAGAACAGAAAACCAAACACCACATGTTCTCACTTATAAGTAGGAGTTGAACAATAGACCACATGGACACAAGGAGGGGAACATCATACATCGGGAACTCTCGGGGGATGTGGGGCTATATAAGGGATAGTATTAGGAGAAATACCTAATGTAGATGACAAGGTGATGGATGCAGCCAACCACCATGGCACATGTATACCTATGTAACAAACCTGCATGTTCTGCACATGTACCCCAGCACCTAAAGTACAGTAAAAAGAATTACAATCTACTTGTCTAGTAAGAGACCCAGGAAGACAGATAAATTCTGAGTTCATTCGTGGGTCTTTATAACTTCAAATTTCAGAGAAATTCCATCATGCGTGACCCAGTCATGGTTTGTCTCTACCTATGTTTGGGTCTCTTCCATGTTCAAGAATCCATGGGACTCAAGTTAGAATCCCTTCTATCTGTGGTACTTATAATAAAGAAATCAGAGGCCTAAATACCACTGGTGAGCAATGAGAGGATTGGCTGACCATATAAAGTTCAATGACACACTATATGGTACCGCTGGAAAACCATTCATTGGATCAGTACTTTCTAAGCGCAATACAAAGAACTTATTTTCACCAACAAAAAGTGGCGTGCATTATCATGTGACAACTGTAAATGTGTAACTATATATAAACAATCTGGTATTAGGAAAGATATAGATGGACATAAATAAAAATAATATTTTTCCTGATCTTTGTTTACTGTTGTTATCAAGCTCATGTAAACAATGGAAACAAAGTCTGAATTAAGTGAAATAAGTCCTTAATTTCTTCTGCTAATGGTGTGGAATCTTGAAAAATCAGAAACTTTACTTTTGCTGGGTAGGAATTCACTTTGGCTGGCATTTTACCTTCCCAGTTACAAGTATCATGAACTAACAATTTCCATTTCGTAGCCTTGAGCAAGGAGGAGAGAGCATAGTATTAATCCACATAAAGGCAGAGAGTTATAAAAGAACACATTTTTGTGCCATGAAACATGATGTTTTTGTACTTTTTAATAATGGGATCCCACTACAATTTCTTCATTGAGTTCAGTAGTGAAATATTTTTGATGGATAACTAACCCTTTTGAGTAAGAAGTATGATTTTTAACTCTATAACAAGTATATAAGATTTCTAGTTAAAATAAATGTTAAATTTTAAATTTAAATGTTAAATAAATGTTAAAATAAATGTTAAATTTCCATAGCTCAACTATATCTGTTTTTTGCATTATCACTGGAACTTTCTGCATAATTCCTTTGTTCATTCATCCATCCTTTATTTTATGTAATCTTTCACTGCATTCAGCCCTAACTAGGCATTGCCTTTCTCCCAGGCACTGGGGAAACAACAGTGAATAGGGACAATCCCTGTTCTAATGCTGGCTAACAGTTAGGAAACGAAGAGTTAGTTCATCGATTAACTGCCCTAGAGATTTAGAAAAAGTCACCTGAGGCCATGTCAATGAGTACTTATTAAATACTTAGGACCTCTGTAGCAAGTCCAGGAGTTTATGTCAATTTACAATTCTGAAAAAATCTAGGAGTGTATGTGACAAGTATTCTGTCACTCTGCTCATGGTTGTTCAGCTGTTTTGCAGGAACATTCAGAATCTAAGAAAGAACCTGGGACTTCTAATTCCTGGGAAAACTTGAAACCTCTGATCTCAGCTCTTAAATCCTATAGACTGAAACCTAGTGATTTCTAATACTCTAGGAAAATTGGAGCAAAAAGTAGTATATTTGTTTTGTTAAAAATCATAGTAAATAGGGATACATTTTACCATCAGAGGATAAGAACAATGATATAGTCTTGACTGTCCCATAAGCACGGTATAAATGTTCATTTTACATAAGGGTTGCACATGCTAATTGTGTGCTCTCTTTGAGTACACCAAACCAGTTTTATTTAATTCCAATCAAGCAAATGCATGGAAAATACTCTGCTCATTTTTATTAGAGAAATATAAATGGTTTGGGGATAAATTCCTGCCCTCAAAAGATTACAGCAGAAAGATTTCACCAAGACCAACATTTGCATTTTCCCACCAAAAACAATATGGTCTAGAACTGGGATCTATAAACCTTTTCTGTAAAAGCCCAGAGTATAACTATTTTTTATTTTTATGCAGTATAATCTCTATCACAGTTACTCAACTTTTCCTTCCTATGGTGAAAGCAGCAATAGAAAATATGTAAATAAGCAGCATGCCTGGGTTCCAGTAAAACTATTTACAAAACAAACAGCTGGCCAAATCTGGCTCACAGGCCAGAGTATGACAACCTCTGATACAGGTAAACCTATATTTTGAGCAATGGCAACATTTTTCATATTCATTTAGTTTCTTACTCTGATTTTATATCCTATCACATACTGAAATAAAATACTAAATAGATATAATTTTTTCTTTATTATCAGGTATTAGTTGTAATAATAACACCCTGGTGAGGATATGCTCAGAAAACTCATGTTTGTCCATTTAAGTGCCATTTTTCCCAATACTGATAAACTTTTGATCATTTTTCTACATAGTAGATTGTTTTCATTTGCTCTATATTATAATGAGTACAACTGAAATTTTTTATGCTTTTCTTGTAATCTTTCTCAACTAATTCTTATGAACAGATGAACTGTCTATTAGTAAACACTCTGCACTTGTTGTCCTCAGTCTGCACTTATTTCCTAGTTAATATTTCCATTACTTTATATATCAGTTATCAATATCTATGTAGTAATCATCTTCCCTCTGTCCACACCTCCCTTTACCCACCCACACATGAAATATGTTCTTTATGAGGAACTAAATTCTGACTGAGAGACCAAAATAACCTCGTTGTTGGAATTACATAAAATGTCACCATAAACCCAACATTAAATTCTTTTAAAGAAGACTTTCCTTTCTGGGGACACAGACTTGACAGTAGCTATTTTCCACAGTACTAAAAAGCTTGGTTGCTTGTTTCTTGCTTTTTGGCTAGATTTCAAAATATTTAGGGTAATAGAAATATGATTAGCAGGTAAATGGAGTTTTCCTAGTGTACTAATACTTCTTTATTTACTGAGTTGTTTACTCAGAAGAACTGACGTCTTTCGGGTTTTTGTGGTTCATTTTGTTTTGTTTACTGATTTTGCTGCTTAAAGTTTTTTCTACTCTGTAATCTGCTTATCTATCACTTTCTCTATACAAGTTAGCACAAGGGACTTCAACCCATATAACAGTCATCTGGGGAGTATTTGAAAAATATCAAACCCTAGGTCCCAACCTGTAGTTTTCTAATCAGTAGATCTGGAGAACAGAGAACAGACATTAGTTACCTTTTGATTGTTTAATATTCCCAGGTGATTCTCAAGTTATTCAAGGGCTAAGGACTACCGGTTTACTATATCCAATTTTTTTTTTTTTTAAGAATTCTGTGTAAAAAGATTTTATGGGCAGGGGTTCACATGATACTCTTTCTGTTTTGTGGCATTGAAATCTAACACATAATAAATACTCAGTACACCTTTACATACTCATACTTTTTGGATGGTCTCATGATGTAGAAAAAATAGGCTTTATTGTTCAGTGTTGAGATCTTTTATTTTCTTCTTCTTGGTCAACTATTGTGTCTTAAATGATTATTTTTGGTAACTGTGAAGTCATATGTGTATTACTGTCTTTCTCTTTTTCATAGCAACAGAAGAATGGGCCACAACCCGCTCTAGCTTGAAGGCACCACCTCCGAGGTCAGCCAGAGGGGGATACAGGGAACACCCCTATGGTAGATATTGAAGGTCCTTCCCACCTGTGACCTCACCTCAAAGACAATTCATAGCCTGTGGTCTCCACATAAACAGCAACAAGACAAGTAATAGTCCTTTTTTTGTTTGTTTGTTTTCTATTCTAGGGATAACTGCTCATGATTACTCCCATATAATTCTTGTATTTCCCTCTATACTGTTGGCGTGACATTGACACTAGCATTATTTTACAAAACGGACTGAAAAAGACATTGGCAAGCATAGTCTAGAAACCCTTCAGTAGAATGATACACTCTCTTAGTTGTTTTCATTGTTGTGTGTAATCTTTTTTTTTTTTTTTTTTGAGAAAGAGCATGAATCTGTTAACAGATTTTTGAGTCTCAACCAACTAGGAGAAACTTTGTTTAGAGTTGCTAAAAGACTGTAATATGATTTTTGAACTAGCTGATAATAAAGTTGTAGATAAGATGTTTTAACCTGTCTTTTAATATCTGTTAGTTAGACAAAGATGTTCGATATTAAGTTTGTAAATTTAATTTTAAATGCTGTTTTAATGGGGTTGAAAAGAAGCAGCTACTGTATGTATGTAGCTAACTGAATTTGTTCAGTGTTTTAACCTGTATTTGTTAAAAAAAGAAAAAAACACACACATAAAGTTCCATGTGTAAGTTTCTCTAAATAGGAAACCACAATTTGTCAAATATGTTTGCCATAATTTGTCAATAAAGCTGAAAACTTTTGTAAAAACTAAATTTGGAATTACTTGTTTTCTAGCTTTAAATGCCTGCTTTATTTCTTCTTCAAGAGATGCCTAAAATGTTTTCTATTTAAAAATTACAAAAATGAACCCAAGCCTGTTTTAAGATTTTTGTGTAATACTTAAAAATGTATTAATAACTTATGGTTGTTAAATAATTTAAAAGTTAACAAACTAAACTGTTACATGAATCATGGTTAGTAAACACTAATGTATAACATGTTAATGGAAAAAAATGGATTTAGAATAATAAATGGATTTTAAACTATCCTCTAAGCTTTATCTTGCTAAACACAAATTCTGATTGACTTGTTTGCATTAGCATGTCTCTCGTGAGAAAGAGTAATGGAGTATAAAGAGGTAAGATTACCACTTACCACTGTCTAAATGCCTAGTTCTTCAACCTTTGAGTTTCCCCGCACATTAATATCCCATCCAACATGTAAGCATTGCGTAGATTCACTTTATTGTTTTCACTCAAAGGAGTGCGTGGACTTCATTTGCGTAGTTTATAACAATTTGTTTCGACAAACAAATCATCAGTGTCACTGGCCAGTTGTTGCTATTCAACCTCAAAAACTTTATTTGTAATTTTCAGTGCTAAATATCACCGCCCTTGAAGGCAGTTTAGAGGGCTGATATTTCTTTTGAGACTATCAGACTTGATGGCTGATGATTATTAAGGAAATATGTCGCAGGACTCAAAGGATGACTAAACGTTAAACAGGTAACACTAATAGTAACTCTGTAATTTTGCCTATGCAACAGTAATGTTAAATATTCTCAGTTATTAAGTTCCTGATAGTTAAAAAAGTAAACCTACAAAAATATAACAAATAGGTCTATAGGCTATTAAAACAACTAATTAACATTAACTAGAGGCACCAAAATTATTTTACAATATATAACCCTCAAGGCAATAAACAGAACTAAAATTAACAATAATAGTAATGCAACTCTTGCTAACTTCAAAAGTAAGCTAAATTTTGATGGAAAAAAAGAAACTGAAAGACTTGATGGTAGGGATGAATGCCAAAACTGTTAATCTTTTAAATACAGTTTTTTTGTTTATGGTGGCTTTTTGTCGATGTGATTGGTTTACTTTTTTGCTGCTAACCAGCTTAGGCATATTGCTGTTCAGTTTTTGCAGCTGGAGTTGCATGCTTATAGTATTATGAAGTGTGTGTCTGTCATCAATTAAAATGGTAAATATTTGCCTTTTACAAAATGCTGTTGAGTTATATTTAATTTTCTTTTTCTATTCCTTCTCATTATTTCAGGTAGCCACAAGCAAAGAACACACAATTGAGTAATGGATATGATTTACAAAGAAGGATGAAGGTAAGCTTATTTTTTGTTTCTTTGAAACAGATAATCTCATCAGCATGAACACATAATAAAACATGAAGCTATAGTGGTGAGCTAAAACACCTAATGCCACTTGTTGAACTACTGAAAAAGCTTAATTTGTTGTTAAGAAATGGAAGTATTTTCATTCTCTCTGAAATAAAGTGGTATGACTTAGTATTTACCTGGCAAGACTTTGTGAATTTAATCAGAAGCTTGTCAAGCGAATTGTGAATTAGTAGTTAATTTTCAGCCCTTTTCTTTGCTATAAACGACTATATTCTACCTCTCCGTAGTTTTACAAAGAAGGAGTGTTAAAACTTGGTTATAAAAGAAGTAAGTCACAATTATTGGCTAAAACAAAGGGAAGGGAAAGGCTGGTCTGTGACCAACTCCTCACCAACCCCTTGTCAATAAGAGTAAAAGAACCAAACATTACCATTATTTGCCCCAGTTATCCCATGAGACTAGTCAGTAAGCTTTTCTATTAGATTTAGCATATCGTTACCGAGTAAAATTACTATTTGAAATTAAGACTTGGTTTCTGTACACCAAGAGTTGGAAGCTTTAGTCAATAAACTTCAGACTGAAAATAGTGCAGGGTTAGTTACAAAATCCACATGCTGAGCTGATGGTCAAAGAACTGAAATGACTTGATGAGGTTTAAAGCAGGGTTTTAAACCTCAAGATTTAATCTTCTGTGTCTAGTCCTGTTTTTACTCATAAATATCCATAAGACATGTTAACTTTAGTGATCGGCATAGGAGAGCTATGAGAGAGCCTGGAGATCGCTTCTGATGGGGGGAAAGGGGGCAGCGGCAGAGACTGAGGGAGACACGAGGTGGAATGGAAGGACAGGAGCAGCTCATCCACTGTGAGGAAGGCAGCACCTCCTGGTCAGGGGAATAGGCTGTCTCAATTTGTGCAACTGGAAAAGTTCAATGCATTTGAGAAGAAAGCAGAAGCTCAGTGAGCCCTGAGGGGCAGACTTAAGAAAGCACACAGAGAAAAGGCAAAGCCTGGAAATACTACTGGTTCGAGTCAGGTCCCAGTTGTCACTAAGTGCTGTATTGAATTTTTTTAATTTGTAAGGAAAACAAAGAAGAAGCCACTACAGGTTTGAAGAATGAGTGCTGTTCTTAAGAAAACTACCCCAATAATACAAGATAAACCTCACATTTAATCTATTTTATCATTACAGCCTCTTTATCTGAGATACCTTTTCTAAAATTCAAACTGTTAAAACAATTATTTAATACTGTATTGCTTCAACTAAAGTTATTTATCTGCAGAATTGAACATCAAAATTACAAGATTAAATTCTGAAATTGTATTTATCAGTAACATTTCATATATGTGTAAATATTAAAAATTATCACTATTTTATAAAGCAAGAGGATAAAGAATCTGTCATCCAGACATACTGCTCATTATTCTCCTTTATCCTTTTCAAACAATGGGCTTGATCTGGTAAAGTGATGAATGAACAACCAGCCATAGGCTGTTACTCTTTTGATGTATTAATCAATATGACTTTTTACTCATTCCAGTTATTTGATTGTTGTGGTGGTCTTATAAACCTATGACCCTCTTACCATTCAGATTGCATTTTTATGTGCATCAACTCATGGCAGGGTTATCACAGCAGAAAAATCAGTGTTGAACAAGAAAAGAGAACATTGTTTTTAAGTACAAAAGAAGTCATTTGCAAGAAAGGAATTTTGATTTTCAGATATCTTCCTTTTGAGTAACATAAGCCTGATTAACTTTGAACATAAAGTTTATGTGTTAAACAGCAAATTTAAAAGACTTCTATCTAGCTACCTACATATAGCTGCAAGATAAAGATGGTCCAGGCTGAGAAGAGAGCTCAAAAGGCAGCAATAGCTAAGATATTAGTATGGCCTTGAATGTGGGCTCTATACACTGTGTCACTTATCCAATAAAAGCCTCAGATAGGTTTGGAACACAGAGAGAACCTCTAACTCAAGAGGAGTCTAGGAGGCAGCAAGCCTCACAGGGCTCTCCACACCAGTGAATATCAGGTGCAGTCCTGTAGAAGTCTCTATAAAATGTTTCACCACACTGGCAAGAGTGAATCGGGTACAGCAGAGAAAACTGCACACACAATTGCTTTCACAGAAAGGCAGGGAAGATGGAGTAGCTTCACCGTAGACCCGTGCTGGCCAGGAAGCAGATGTGGACACAGTATCATTGGATACAATAACATGGAAAGGCAAGAAGATAAGCTCCTCCCGGCGTGCAGTGCCTCTAGAACTTAAATGCAAGCCAGGAAAAAGAGAAGGAGAAAAATAAATCCCTGAGTTGACAGAGGAACTTCTGTTCAAAATGAATCTGAATTGGCTGGGATGATCTTTCTCCACCCAGCAGAATGGGGACTGAAGTTTGAAATCAAGTTGAGGTTTAGAAAAATATAATTACATATGGCATAGACTTGCTGACTCTTAATATAATCATATTATAACTTCCCTCTTAATATAATCATAAATGAATATGCTAGGTTTCTCTAGCAACAGAGAATGATAATTTCTTTAAGTTAGCAGCCTTTTAGTGGAAACTTTTATTTGAATGAAAACCATTCAGCAAGTGGTCCTAAGTGGCAAATATATGCACAATCAGAGGATGCCTTCTATTGTCAGTATCAGAAAACAATGCTGGTCCCATTTGGGTTCATGGCATCAAGTCTGCTCTCACGATCTTCAATGTGATGGCTCCCAAAGTTGGCAAACATCATGTCTGACATCCACTCATACAAGTGATACGAACTTGCATGGCAAATTAAGGTTTTAGATTATACTGCAATCTGTCTAAGCATATTTTAAAGTTATCCGTATGCATGCTCTATGGATTTTTTCGGATAATGCTCTAACTCTTGGTACACTGATGATCCCCTTACAACAGGGAACTCACTGAAAAAATCAGATTAACTAAAAACTAGACAATCAGACTAACCAAACGAAGTATTTTAAATAGTAATAATAAAATTACCAATAAATTATTTGTGCCTACTAATATTTAGCAACAAAAAGTATTGCTGCACTCAAATATGATTAAATCAGAATCATTTTGATGCCATGTAAGAAACTGAATAGTGCACTGAGGTCTTACTTGTAATATTTAGATAATTTTCACTTTTAGTTTACAGTATTAATGGAATTGTGACCATTTAGCTTAATAACAAAGCAGTAACAGTTTCTAAATCAGGCTATCACAAAATGACATATGAAAGGTTATCAGGAATTCTTTGAAAGGAAATTATTTTTAAAAGTATGTTATTAAAATATTACTCTTGTTCTTTTAGGTCTTTACATGAAAAGATACAGACTAGTATTTTTAAAACTACAAATGCCTTTTAAAAATGTAACATTTTAAGGTTGATTGATGGGTACAAATGTTCAATTAGAAGAAATAAGACCTAGTGTTTGATAGATCAGTAGGATGACTATAGTTCATAATAATCTATTGTATATTTCAAAGTAGCTGGAAGAGAATAATTCAGATGTTTCTTGCATAAAGACAGACAAATATTTAAGGTGGTGGACATCCCAATTAGACTGATTTGATCTTTACAAATTATACAAATGTATTAGATTAGCACCTGTACCTCAAATATATATACTCTATCACATAAAAGTAAATAAAATTTTAAAATGTACTCCTTATATCATTCTCTCTGTATTTCCTTTCACATAATACAGAGGATTATAGGGTTGTTTTATTTTGTTTTGTTTCTAAAGGGAATAGAGAACAATGATCAAGAATCTGAGCTGGCTGAGTGTCGAGTATTAAGCTTCAGTATCAAAAGCTCTGTTGCTAAAAAAAAAGTTTAACTTTTACTGAAAAAAAAATCATGTAGTAAGTAAACGACGATATTGAATTGTATGATAGTTGTGAAAATTGATTACATGATTTATGATTGATATAAGGCTGTATAGCACAATAACAATAATGATAGTGGAATCCTCTGGTTTTTTGAGCATATATGCTGGACAAGTTACTAGAATTTTCACATAAAAACTTACAGGAAGCATCTGTAATTCTTTGAACAAGCATGCAAATGAAGTCTAATTAACCTCATCTTACAGAAGAGGAAGTAATGTCAGACTGCTAATATGTATAGCAAAGCCAATATTTAAAACAAAGTTTAATGACCCACTCAGTTTTCAAAATACTATGGAATTTCCTGACTGAATAAATGTGATTAAAAAGAGGATAAAGAATTCCAGGTAGCCTTAACATAATTTCTGTTCTGTAGTAATATGATGAATATTGACTTAAAAATAGATAAGACAAAATATCTTCACTTGCAGTCAGTCTTTACTTTGATCTTTCCCCATTTTTCATTCTGATTTCATCATAGAAAAACATAGATGAAAGTATTCCACACTTGCCACAAAGCATGACTATAGTCATTGGTAGAACAAATGAATTCATTTATAATCTAAATTCCATTTTGACATTTAAGAAAACCACTCACATGATTAAATAAGCATGAAAGTAATTTCAAGCTTCTATTCGTCAATCTATAGATCAAAACTCTGCTTTATAGAATAAGGGTCAATTTCAAACCAGAAATATCTTTGTATAAGCCATGCAGTCATGTGTTAAGAACACAAGTGAAGATACCATTCAATGTTAAATATTTTTAAAAGGCATTTCCTGTTGTCAATATAATGTGTAACATTAGGCTGAACATTCTAGTTTCCAATTAAATATCTGAGGTAATAATAAAATAGCGTTGACCAAATCCATCATTAAGATTAATTTCTTAGTCTCTTTATGTAGAATATATCAATTGTTATCAAAGAATATTTACAGTGTGCCTTGGGGAAGGTCACTCTACTTGATATTTTGTTTTACATCTCAATCTCTTACACTGTTTATGAGAGGAACTGAGAGAACGGTAAAGTTGCCTGATTCATAGACCACTGGTTGCCCTAACAACAGTTGGCTTTTCTTCCTTTATACCCATACACACAAAAATACAGAATAAACGAACTTAAAAATTGGCAACTAGTTACTGAACACTAATCTTACGTTCCTGTTCCGCTGTGCTTCATACTTCACCATGGGATATAATGAAGGATCTATTTAGAGGAGAAAACTGGAGATGCTTGGATCTCACATGTTTTCTATCATTTTTTTCTTTTTTTTGAGACAGGGTCTCACTCTGTCACCCAGGCTGGAGTTCAGTGGTGCCATCTCAGCTCACTGCAACCTCTGTCTCCCTGGTTGAAGCAATTCCCCTGCCTCAGCAACCTGAGTAGCTGGGATTACAGGTGCCTGCCATCCCACCCAGCTAATTTTTTTGTATTTTTAGTAGAGACAGGGTTTTACTATGTTGGCCAGACTGTTCTCAAACTCCTGACCTCAGGCAATCTGCCCACCTCAGCCTCCCAAAGTGCTGATATTACAGGCATGAGCCACCACGCCCGGCCAGTTTTCTATGATCTTAATGCATCTCAGGATGACTTACATGAGTAAGAACATGATACCTTTCCTCTGTCTCATTTGTCCGTTCTCAAAACGGTAAAACGTATTTCCTATCTTCTAGATTCGCAGTCTGCCTTTTTAGACATCATGACATTTTTCAACTTCTCTAATGTCATCGTGATCCTACATTCTCAGTATCTTGTGTCATTTTCCCAATAGCATATGAGAAAATGAGAAGACAAAGACAAAGACAATTGACAGCTATGTGGGAAAGAGCAATGCCCAATCCATTGAACAGAGCTCCTACAGTGAGAAATGTAATTGGTTTCCATTGTAAACTAGAAATTGTAAAAGGAAAGACAAATACAATGAGTAAAAATGGAAAAAAAGACAACAGTTAACATTAATATATATTATCTACTGTTCACAAAATCTTGATTTCTATGAAGTATAAGAGGATGTATTAGGTGAGCAAACATCTCTGATTTGTCCAACTTCTATAAATATTTTAAAATATAGACTTTAAAATTAGAAATGAACACTTATATGTGAAATTTACAAAGATCATCAAATAAAGTCTGTGACTGGAATGAAGACAATTTTAAAAGTCTTTAAACAGGGAAAATCATAATTATAATGTTGCCTAAAGATATTCTTTAAAATGAAATTAATGTTGAATTTTTAAATTGTGTTTTTAACTTTCCTGTTAGGGGTTTAGGAGCATAAATTACTTTGTTGACCAATAAATAATTATTTTTAATTGATTTAGATATGCTGCTTTATGCTTTCTTCTAAGGCAATAATTTGTAAAATAAGCATTATCATATTCCATCAGAAAAACTTCTTTTATCACTGATAACCTTTAGTAAAGCAAAAAATGGCATAATATTTTAAAGATCATTTTTGTTTCTGGTGAGTAATTCAGGTACAAATAATGATTGCCTTAGAATATGAAAGAATCATGGGAAATTAGTATTTTTGGAGGGATTCTTTTTTTATATTGTCATTTTATGATTACAAAGTGATCATTTTCAAGGTGAGTAAAAATAGTGTATAATGTAAATACGTAATTTAAAAACAAGAAATGTATACTCTTACTCCTCAGAGATAACTCTTAATAGATTGGTTTACAGTTCTTTTCAATTTCTTTGTCTTACATTCCTTCAGTTCCTCCTCCATTCTTCAGCTGTTTGTTACTTATTTGAAATGGGATTCTGGTGTGTAAATATATGCAATTTTAATTTTCAAAAGTGAGTTGAATTTTGTTTCTTTCTGAAAAATAAGCTAATACCCATTTCCAATAGGTGGATTTGTGTGTGGGGAGGATTAAAGTTGTATCATGTATTATGAACTAATCCATAGTACACACTCTAGAGTGTGTGCAAAAAATTTTTTTTTATATTTTCAAGCTTAAATTTCTTATAGGTAAAATGATGATAATAATAGTACCTACTCATAGAATTGTGAGCTATGTTAAGTAAAATCATTCAGGTTTGTGAATTTACAATTTACAAAACTTCTCCCCAAGTTTTGTAAATATCCTCCCCAAGCAAGTTACTTTTTTCTTGGGCAAAAAATTTTAAAGTATCTATCGTATATATCAAACATGTAAATAAAAATTTACTCTATAAACATATTGATATATTTAAATATATTTAAACATTTAAACAGCTTAAATATTTTTTAAATGTTCTCTATAAAATATTTAGCTAATGTAGCCTTTAGAACAGTTGTTAAGAAATGCTTTTTATAAGCAAATATATATTGGATGTATTTATAATAGGTATTATAAGGTATAAGAATCATTGCAATAATGTTGCATACATATTGTTTACAATGAAACAGTCGGGTAAAAATGAAAGTGAGACCAACAATTGTTTCAATAATAATTATCTGAAGAAAAAAACATTTGCAATAACTAGTGCATACTATCTGTCAAGCACTGTTGTATTTTTAAGAATTATTTCATTTATTTTCTCAACAACCCTATGTATAAAGTTGATACTGGCTCAAGATATTGAGTATTGTACAATATACCCAATCGTCATGTATATTATGCCTGTCTATGTGTTTGCCCACCTACCATTGATTAAATAGAAGCTATGGGTTTCTAAGTATAGAATTTAGCCTTCGTAGAGATTAAGATATCCTAAACAATATAACATAAAATCTCAATGAAAAATGAAAATAGATGAGAAATTATCCTTCTAAAAAATAGTCATTGTTACTTGTTTACTAACAACAGGCTCTATTGTATTGATTTGTCCCAGTCTCTGTGACTGCAAAAATAAAATGGCGTTTTCCATTTATCTCTTTTCCAGTCAGATGATACCCACTACTGAAATATGTTTTATACCTTATTATACTTAGTAATAGGATACCAAAGTGAAGGTGAATATGAAAATAAGGAAAAATATTTAGAAAGAAAAAGAATGTAGCTAGAAAGGTGATAAATGTTCATTAGAAGTGCTAACATTAAACAGGTAGTAATATGAAAAAGAAAGATAGACCTCTCCTTACATCCTTTAGGGAATGTAATGTCCTGAGATCTAATAATTCTCATAAATTGCCATCTTGTACAGTTTATCACACAAATCAATAACGTTAGAAATTTACAATATGCATTCCCTTTATAGCAAGAAAAGAAACATGCAACTACTGAATACATCTGGAGCTTCTCTTTTCTGTCTCAGAATAATTATTTTCTTAGATCACTACACTTTCCCTTTACTTCTACCAGCAGATTTTTCTTTTATCACTTTGGAAAATTTCTGTGTCCAGTGTTGAGTAAAGAATAAAAATTTATACCAGCCTTTCATTTGCTGTTAATTAAAATTTGTACTTTTAGAAAATTATAATACTGCATGTCATGTAGCTACAGATTTGTTCAGAGATATTACAAAAGAGGAGTACTACATCTATGCATGCCAAAGGTATGCCAAAGTAATTTTATCACACTACTTTATAAAGATATTGATGTTTGAGAGATAGTTTCTGAACCTATATTTTAAGAGTCCTGTAGTTTGGTATATAATACTATATATTGTAAGTACAAAATAGACCCTGTTGCAAGCTCCAACACTATAAAGGTTCTCAATAAAAATGCATTTTTTATTTGTTGTATTTAGATTAATAGGAAATATCTAGAGTATTTTAAAAGTTAAGTACTCATAAGTAAAACTTGGTGATAAGTTGATTTGATTCCCCAGAAGTAGGAAAGAACCACAATTAATTTTCTTAGGATTTAATTCTAAGGTGTTTGCATAGTTTAAGCAATATCCAGGTGATTTACTGAATCCATCCAAGTGATTTACTGAATTTCCATCACTAATTCTACCATTTCATTGTATCACCCAAGGAAACAGTTCACCCTGCAAATGACACTAGTAATGATAGCCTGAGACTAAATAAATACGTCAAAAGAAAGTGGCCTCATGACAATTTAGTTAAAAAATATTCAGTGAATGCCAAAAAGTCTGCTGTGGTAAATATACTGCTAGCTGTCACATAACAAAAAATGGTATCAGTACCTTGGTTTAGAGATGAGGAATAAATATTTTATAGAAAAACAGCCACGATTTACCTTTCTAATGCAAGAACTGGAGCCCTCTTAGGAAAAGGCTTAATGTTTTTTTCTTAATTAGTATATTCGTCCAGATTGAAGGGAGACAGTTGTCAAATTTAACTAAATGAATACATATCAATATGCTTTCCTCTTTTCTGGTCTTATAATATTTCTTATGTAATGTTTATAATTCATTCAAATTATCCTATTGATTTGTATGCAAAAATGCTAATATTCTATATGCTATTACACTTACATACATAAATTAATGTATGAATAGCTAGTTTTAACAACTTTTAAGAATATTATTATTATTTATATGGTATTTAATTATCACAGCAGTTCCACGAAGGAAACAAGGCAATTTTTCTTAAGGATAAGGAAACAAATTTTCACAGGTTTAAAAAATTTATCCAAAAATTACATGAATTCTACATGGTGGGAGTTGGGCTGAAACATTATCCTCTGCAAAATAATTTAAGCTTCTCATTTTGTAAATGATAGTGTACAGTGGTAGAAGAGAGAACAGTCAAGATTGCATGAGAGAGAAAGCTGTTCATGTGCAGGAATTATAATATCTTCTTATAACCCATTCCAACTTAACTACAAGTACTGGGATTTATATATATATATAAATATTTACCCATAGCCTTATTTATATGCCTACTACAGGCATGTCATAATATCCAATATTTTGAAAAATAGCATACTGAGAACAGATGCATGTGAAATTACTCACAATTGATAGCCTAATGATCACAAAGTATACAGTGAATTTGTAATAGCTAAATTAAGTAATAATGTAAGGAACAATGTTTTCTGACTTTAGCTGTTAAAGAATAGAATTGAAATTAATTGAAAGTGTGAAATATTAATAACTGGAAACATTCTAATTTATGTTTAAAATATATCCAAATTGTAATTTCATTTCTTTACCATCTACTATTACAAGAACTTCAAAAAAGAAATAATTAGGTTGATACCATTAGATAAGAATTAACATAACTTTCATTATTCTTTTTTAAATACTTAACATTAGTCCTTTCCTCTTAAAAGAAAAAAAAAAGGAAATACTTTGCAGCTATTGGATAATGGACATTTTTTAATGAGTTTAAAGGTCTAATTTTGGTTTGGTTTGCAAAAGCCAGAACATTCGCAGAAGTTTTCTAATTTTCAACTGAGAATCCTGCTTTTGAGAAAAAAAATAAAATAAATCCCAGAAGGTTTGTGTCTAAATTAAACAGGTCAGCAGTTGATCTTAATTTAATTTACTAAACAATTTCATTAAGCAGTTCAGAGACTTGGGCTTATTCCATCAAAGTGTACTCATGTAGAAGATTCTACTATTTGGTCTAATTTATCTTTGTCCACCTTTATCGCTAAAGTGCATTGCATGGACTCAGAAATACCTATTTGTCACAAACACACTATGGAAGCACTACATGGCAAATCAGTACAAAGTACAGTGTTTTACAATTAATTTCTTATGTTGTTAAAAAAAAAAAAGGCTTTTTCACTATAAAAGCAACATATTTCAAAGTCTGAGGCTTACTCATTTCCAGGTCAAACTTTTTTTTTTTTTTTGAGACGGAGTTTGGCTCTTGTTATCCAGGCTGGAGTGCAATGGCGCGATCTCGACTCACCGCAAACTCCGCCTCCTGGTTCAGGCAATTCTCCTGCCTCAGCCTCCGGAGTAGCTGGGATTACAGGCACGCGCCACCATGCCCAGCTGATTTTTTGTATTTTTAGTAGAGACGGGGTTTCACCATGTTGACCAGGATGGTCTCGATCTCTTGACCTCGTGATCCACCCGCCTCGGCCTCCCAAAGTGCTGGGATTACAGGCGTGAGCCACCGCGCCCGGCCAAACTATTTTTAAATTCAACACAAGTTTCTGAACTTTTATTCCTGTGGCCTAATAGTTCCCCTGTGCTGTACACTTCAGGGTCTGGTGTGCTCAGAAGCACAAAGATTTCTGGTTAAGCGCAAGGAGCAGGAAATGCACTTTTGTATTAGGAAGTGATACCTAAGTTGCAAATCATGAAACAAATACATATATTTGGTAATAAAATTTTCCCCACCACCTATTCCCACCCTGCAATGTAGAAGGAAGGGTCTAGAAACACATGTAAATGAAAAATAACTCTAAGTATGTCTACAATGTCCACAGGAAAAATAATAATATTTTAACACGCTACAGAATGTTTCTAGAATGCGTATTTATTTATAAAGCTAAATTATTTGATAATATTTGGTGAACATTTAGGCATTATTTTATTATCTGGATACGTTTTTAGAAATGGGAAGATGTAAGTGCTCTATTGTATTTACTTAAGTATACTTTATTTTTTTGCAATATTTCTCAAAATAATGCTATGATAAACATTAAGTTTTACAGCTGCATTGAGTCAATTCATAGATTTGTGAAGTAATAGAAATAACACATATCTCAGTTATCAAGTGATGTGTATATATGACTAATAGTTATGTTTTTAATAAGATGATAGACAATATCAAAAAATAATTATTCAACTTGTTAGACTATTGGTTCCTAAGTATAATAGTTATTGTTTTATTTTTAATTATTTTCAATGTACAAATACATATGAAAATATAACTTGAGAATAGAAATTTCAGAACTAAGAACAGTCTACTAATTTGGTAACTATTTGTTATGATGAATTAAATTTCAAAATCAAATTTTTAGAGTTAAATAATCTATAATATTTATAATTAAAAATTAAAATAAGGTATTCTTTATATTATACAGAACATAAGTTTTATAATATATTTAATTCTGGATATATTTTTTCCTTCAAAAGATATTCAGATTTTACCAGTACTTACTTACATAAATGAGTAAGATCATATTTCAGACTTTAATGGAGCATTATTTGTGTAAGTTTTCTATTTTCCATATCATATACTCACCCATCTTCTAATTTTATTGATTATACAGTTTTGAAAGTTTAATTTTTTTCTACGGTAAGACGGTAAAGTTTAGAAATAAGTGTTATCTACTAAATCAGCCAACAACATGTCAACTCTGTCTTCTCAGTTTTTGTGAGAATGTGTTACTATAAGTGATGCAATTCCTCTTACACTTAAAAATATACCCTTATATTGTAGTGAGTAGAAAAAGACTTATAAAACACTTAAATATTTCCCAATAGTTCTGGCAACATTTAACAGCAGTGATTTATTTCCTGTATTAACATGATAATACCTAAACCATATTCCCAGTAGCCTATTTCCTAAAATATTTTCTTCTACTTCAATTTTTGTCATATGAAAATTAGCTATAAAATAAATGGAGAAACATAATATATTGATTTTTAATTGGAAGTAAAATTAAGGATTCATAATTTAACTCCGTTATGAAATGTATGCCAAACACTTTCAAATTTTTATGTAACATATGATTTGCTTAGAAGCATCAAAAATAGACTAGACAGGAATTAAAATATGAATTATTAGCTAACAATATGCAGAATTAGAAAAAGTATATCTGTTAAATTACAAATAAATTGTTTTAATATCAAAGGGTTATATTTTTAAAAATTAGAAGTAAATTAGTTGCTCAGCTAAAATATTTTTATGTGCTGTAACACCAGAGACACCTTTATTTATTACAGGTGATAAAACTACAGTGCTAAGCTAATCAAATTCAAATCAATTTAACCAAGTATGTTTCAGTGAAACAGTGTTTAAGAAATGCAAAATAAACTAAAAGATGAAAAACTCATTGCCTTATCATCAAAGCAATTGGCAGGGCATGGTGGCTCACGCCTGTAATCCCAGCCCTTTAGGAGGCCAAGGAGAGTGAATCAAGAGATTGAGGCCATCCTGGCCAACATGGTAAAGTGAAACCCCGTCTCTGCTAAAAATACAAAAATTAACTGGGGTGGTGGTGCATGCCCATAGTCCCAGCTACTCGAGAGGCTGAGGCAGGAGAATCACTTGAACACAAGAGGCAGCCGTTACAGTGAGCCAAGATCGCGACCCTGCACTCCAACCTGGGCAACAGAGTGAGACTCCATCTCCAAAAAAAAAAAAAAAAAAAAAAAAGCAATCAGTTTACAACTTCTACCCCCCAGGTATATAATACTTTTGTCATTTCTTTGCAGGAAATTTTCAAGAACGTTTGGCATCTCCTAAACTTGCATCTAATTTGTCCATGTTTTTGAACCTACTGTTCATATGTAAAGCCAGAGTGCCAGAAGAGGGTAGCTACAGTTCTGTTAAAATATGTATACATCGAGATTTGCAAATATCATGCATAGTGTGAAAGATGCTTATTTTCCTAAAGGAAATGGGCATTCTCTTTTCCTCAGTTCTTGTTTTTTTGTGTGTTGAATGAATCCCCACTAAAGTCAGGACAGTAAGGGGCATTATTAACTAATCTTCCCAGTATTGGATATATTAGAATGAATAACAACGGATGAATATAATACTGCTATATCCAAATTGCTACAAAATTCAGAAACCATTTTTTTCTCATAAATCCAAAAATGTCAACCTTCTACTGACACAATATTTTCAGCAATTTTATAACTTCTACTCAATGAAGGGTATTGAAATAAAACATCAAATCTGCTTGTACTATAAAAATGCTAACTTTTATGTAAGAAAAGTAGAAAGATCAGTAAGTGTGGTGTTACAAGTTCAGAAAGCAGTTGATATACGAAGGTTAAGTCTTGCTGGTATCATAAACCAAGTTTCACCTTTGACTGGTTTGACCTGATTATTTCTATTTTAACCCTGTTTTGATCTTCAATTTCAAGGCAGCAAGTCAAGCCACATAGATCAATTCTTTCCAAACTTTTGATTTTTATTTCATTTTTACATGTGTGTAGATTTTTGAATATCAATGTATGCGCTTTACTCCCTAGCTGACAGTATGAGATATTTTAAGAATCCCAGGAATTTTTAGTAATAGTTGAGGTTTCATTAAGCTTAGTTCTCAAGTGACTTCTTAAAGTTTATTCATCAAATAATTCAGGGTGTAAAAGTAGCACATAAACATTAATTGAACAGTCATTAAGCAGTATAACTGTTTGTTTTCAGTTGATAGAGGACATTAAGCTCCATACCCTGTGGTGGAAAACAATTACGTCTTATGATACACATGCCATTAGGGATACTGCTACCAGACTCGACCAGTTTCACTTTACAAAATAGCAGTGAGCTGCAGTCAGAAGTTTGCTCAAGTCATAGGAAGTCATATGTTTACTGCCATGTCCTAGCTACTTATAAATATTGTTACATGCTTCATGCCTTATGCTAATGGCAATGACTAATGTTTGTCAATATCTTCACTCAATCTTATTTTAAAAACCTCCTCAGGACAGACTGATCCTAGCTAGAATGCTACTTAAAGTGAGAATGTTTTTCTAAAACAAATAATATAAAAATCACTTAAATAGAAAAGGTTAGATGATAATTTATTTTGAGTATGCCAGACAGCTGCTATTGTTATTAAATTTGCCATGAGACTGACTGACCGATATCCTATATGAGAATGCCTTATAGATGCCTGTATGTGTGATTGCACAATGCTTTAAAGTTGTTCTACTCATCTAGGACTGTAGGTGAAGATGTATGACACAAAAACAAAAAGGTGGAAAACACCCAAGACTGGCTGTTTGGAGGTTTACTGTTTTTAACAACGGAGGTGAGTCCCTTCATCCATTTGTGATTTCATTTATGAACACTACTTATAAGACAGGTACAGAACACTTCATTATGGGCCCAAACAAGTATGTTTAAATGGATAAAGTAGCTCTTTGCATCAGATGGAAGCTAAGTTTGACATTAAATTAATGTCAAAAAAGTGAGAAACTCTTTTAGTTTTAATCTACATGTAGCAGCATAGTGGTAATGTGTTGATTTTCATGTGCACATAATTTCTAGTCTTATATGACCAGGATGTGAGGTTATAAATTCCTGTATTACAAAGTAAAAACAAAAGAATGCAAGAATCCACTAATAAGGAAATATATTTTGTTGAGAAAATGTGATGAATGTTCACACTGTTTTTCAGAATGAGGAAGGTGGGGAACAAAAAGTTTCTGTGGAGAAGAAATGTCATCCGCCATACATGATGGCTCTTTATCGAGCCTTTGTTGAAAGTATTACTGTAGGTATCCTGCCAAATAAATCACCTTTTTTATTATAGGAAAAGTTCAATTTCACTGAAGAGGGCTAAGATATAGGGACTTCCAATACATCTTTGTAGAATGAAATGGAATGGAACAGTGTAGAGTAGAACAGAACCCAATAGAATAGGACTACAATTATTTGTTCCTTCCTTTAATTCTAATTTGTTCTGAAACAAAAAGAGAAATAAATGTATGGCTGGATAATGAGAGGGATAGATGATTCTGAAGATAAGTTTCTGTTTTCTTCCTTATATATTCTTGTATTTTAAAGTAATTATTTAGGGAGAATAAGTTACAGTTACATGTTTGTTTAAAGAGATAGGGAATTGTGTAAGATATTTCAGAACTTAAGTCATTTATTTAATGAAAATACATTTCCTAGGACTTGATATTCAGAAAGACACTCCAGAAGAGCTCAGATCAGTTATGGTTACTATAGAAACATCATGCCTCCTTCTATTTTGTCTCAGAGGAATTTGGAAGAAAACAGAAATCTTATCTTTATGACCATCTTGAATCTAATCTTTCCAAACTCTTTCCAGAATCCCACGTAAATTCTCCTGTACAATATAACACTCTCTTTGGAATTCACTGTCAGTTACAAACTACACTGTAGATAAAGTGACCATATGTCCTGGTTTATGCCTTTTGTTTTTGGGTCATTATCATTAGCACTACCTTTCACTCTGATATGTGTCCCGGTAGAGATGACAAATTATGGTAGCCTTATCTATAAATAATACCATGTCAATAATAATAACCAATAACCTTACTGGAAGCTTGCTATTTATCAAAAGCTTTGAATGTTTTTATGTGTAATAAATTCTTCATCATAACTCAATAAGACAAGTATTTTATTTCCCCCATTTTACAGGAGAAGAAACAAAGAGTTAGAGAGGGTAAATAGCAAGACCTACTCCCATAGTGGGCCCAATCTGAATGTAGACGAAGGTCTGACTTTATAGCATTGTATGCCAGAAGATGGTTATGCTATCTTCTTTTTGGCTGGCTGAAAGAATTAGCTTTGGTTTTTCTTTTTTAATGTATTCAAAGATTATCAGTAGTTCTCACTATTCTTCCTAGATGTTATAACTATATTTTTATAATGACTGTGGATTTTAAGAGGCAAGAAAAGAGCACCAAAGTCAACTAAAATTAATCTGGGTTTTAGTTTGCATTATTAATTTTACTATATTAATAAAAATAACTGATTTGTTGAGTGACTAGTTTATGCCAGATTGGGACTTACCCTGTGTTACATCACTGACCCTTAACACAGCACTGCCAAGCAGAATATTTGAACCCCATGAATGTATTTGATTGCTTTAGCTATTAGCCCTAAATTGGTTCATAGGTTACAAATGAAGCTCAGGGCATTAAATCATTTCAGCAAGCCCCTCCAGCTCTGACACTGTCATCCCTAGCTGTCTCTAGGAATATTTGATATCAGGGTATAAGACACGGAATCTAGATGCAAGGAAAAATTCTTGGGGACAAAGGGACTTCCCCAGCACCTCATGTTTATATTAACTGTTGTGCATTGAGTGCTTAATAAAGGCATGCACTTTACATATTTTTGTAAACATATTTTCTTCTATTTTTCTCCTTACCATAGGCCGAAAAAGAAGATAATTTGGATTTGAACCAATGTAAGTTTAGCTCTGCTATGCTAGAGAGATCCATCTCTGGCACTCTCTACAGATCACCATAATTTAGAAACTTTTCTGAAAAGCAGTATTAAAGCTGAATAAATATTTGCTCATAATCAAATTTGTTCCACCACTGTATAAAGAATATAAATATAAAAACAGACATAATAGTATTGTATAGAGATTGTTGAAAGGAAATTCCTTGTCATATTTTCAGATAAAAAGCGTGAAAATATTTACTAGTGTAGAGTAAGTTCTGTATACTGCAGAAAACAAGGTAAATGTAAATCTGTGCCTATACTCAAAAGATGATTACAGTTCACTTGGGAATACAAGAATATAAATGCACAAATGTGGATTCTATACTATTATAAAATGCCAAATTATACAGTGTAGTTTGAACAGTGGTTCTTAACCACATATGCATAGCAGCATCATGCATGATGTGTTTTAAAACGACAGATGCCAGGACCCTACTGCATTGACTAAGTACATTTCTGAGGTCAGAACTTGGAAATGTGTGTTTTAAAATTCCATGGGTGATTTTGAGGTGTGCTATGGATAACAACCACTGCATTAAAATATATGTGTAATATACTAATATGTTAAATATGCAGATTTTAAAAGTTAATTTTTGCCAGGATGTAAAAAGATGGCTTTATAGAAGAGAAATGATTTGAATGGAAGGTCAGATGTAGACAGAAGGTAAAAGAAACATTTTTTTTCTTTTTCTTATTTAGCCCAAAATAAAATTTTGTCTTTAAGGTTTTTATCTGCATTTCAGATTCCTAGCTGGATTTAGCTGGAATGGATGATAAAACATAAAACAATAAATACCTGAAAATGTTCAATTATTTTCTAACCTCTCTATGATATGGCTTTATAAAAATCAGGATTGAAAGCTTGCCTGAAAACTTATATATTATTATATTTATATTTTTGTCAATAATAAGGAAATCTAATCAGAGCTAATAAATGCAATTTAGGCTGCAAGCTACCAAAGGACAGGATTCATGTTTTATTCAAATTTGGATTCTTAGATATTTAGCATACTGGACTGGCTTATGCATAATATATATTTGTTTGTTGAATGAATTAGATATTTGGATTTATTTGCTTTATTTATTCTACCTTGGGGGGCAAATTTCACTAGTCTCCATTTGAAGGCTTAAGAACTTTTGCTATGAAGGTTTTGGTTTGTTCATCTATTTTTTTCTTGACCCAGAACCACTGTCCTGGCAAAGAATCATTAGCTTATAGGAGTAAGCTTTTAGGCTTTTTCCTTCCAAGAAAAAGATGGAAGGGAAGGGAATACAGGTGGAAAAGGCAAAGGAGACTTGCAGGAGAGTTCCTTTTTAATAACAGGAGACTTCTCCTTCCAAGTTTATGCCCAGAACAGTGGTAAACCACTCTTCTCAGACCACTCCTTCCACAGGGAGCACTGAGGCCACCAATATGATCAGGAGAAAAGCTTCCAAAGTTTCCCCAACCTCTACCCACTGACCAATTTTTTTGTAGGACACGTTCGTTTTGTCATTGGTTTTGGTTTGGGGTGATAATGCAGCTTTAAAGACACAGTCAAAAAGATCACAGAGACTCTTTATCTTGCCTTGCATTATGTCTTCCCAGCACCAGGCAAGCCAGGGTTCTTTTGCTTTTTGTTGTTGTTGTGGAAACAATGTCAGATGTTCATAATTTCCCAGTGGAATTTTATAATACTTTGGGAAACAGTTTCATAGGGTGGAAATAAGAAGAAAGAATGAAAAGAAAGCAAAACACAGATAGGAAAAAAGTACAGTGAGCTGATGACAGAAAGCTTTGATTTTCATCATTCTACTTTTGAAAATAAGGGGAAAAGTGGAGGTCATCATGCAGTGCTTAACAGTGGACATCCATGTGTAAAACAGTTTCAGTGTGAGACAACTTTGAGAATGATGACAGCCACTTGTTTTGGTATTAGAAAAGAGGCAGGTAAGATCCAGGGGATGGAGCGTGGGCAGAAGCTATTGTTACAGGACAGGATTCCTGTAATCTACTGTCTCTATGCGCCTTCTTTTGAGTCGTTGCACTTTTTTGGCCTCCCTACCCCTTTCTCCAGGTGCTATGTGATTTCTTCACCCTAGACAAGCCTGATTATCCTCAAGGGAAAACCAACCCAAAATAAACATGATTACATAATCTTTTTTTTTTTTTTTTTAGATAAGAGTTTTGCTCTGTCGCCAGGCTGAAGTGCAGTGGTGCAATCTCAGCTCACTGCAACCTCTGCCTCCTGGTTTAAAGCGATTCTTCCGCCTCAGCCTCCCGAGTAGCTGGGACCACGGGCACGTGCCACCGTGCCCGGCTAATTTTTGTATTTTTAGCAGAGATGGGGTTTCACCATGGCCAGGATAGTCTCGATCTCTTGACCTCGTGATCCACCCGCCTCGGCCTCCCAGAGTGCTGGGATTACAGGCATGAGCCACCGCGCCGGGCCTAAGTAAGCAGTGATTGAACAAGAGCATATCCAAAACAGATTAATTCATATTGGGTGGCATAAAACAGCTGAAAATCAAACTAATTTCTGTTTTAGGAATGTTTCAAGAGTGGGCTATCACGTGCATGGTATATATGTCATCTTGAATACAACAGTAATTTTAATCAGTCAATGATATGCTAGCACGGGCGCATACAAGCTCATAGGATCCAAAAGCGAGCATCTTTTCTCAGCTAGACTTCAGTGACTTCATTTTGGTAGCTTAAAGGAGACCCTGGTGTGTCTACTTATACCATAGAAATTCAGGAATGTTACAAATCAGGACTTTTTAATTATTTTGCAGAGAGCTAGTTTACCAGCACACCACGGAGCGACATACACATTTTAGAAGTAAAAAGAGACCCAATATAAATACACGTCTTTGTAATTAGGAATGTTACTTGCTGAGTAAATATTTGAAGAAGACACTGCTTAAGAGACACAGTATTTTGTTAGACTGCATAGGCCCAAATATTTTATTAGTTGTGCCTTAACCTCTCTGTACTTTTGTCTTCTTATCATTAAAATGAGAACTTCATACAATTACTCTGATGATGAAATGAGTTCATTTATGTGATGCGCTCGAAAAAGTGCCTACCACAGAGAAGGTTCTCAATAAGTATATTCTATTAGTAGCAACAAGAGATGAGGCTATATGGTTTTTTACAATCTTCCCTTAAAAGACTGCCTAAATTCAGTGTTATTTTCCTTGTTGAGCTTTTATATCTCAGAATCCCATACTCAATTTCCACAAGTTTTGTAAAGATCTGTTAAATGAAGGCACATCAAATCACTCTGAAATGCATAGAGCACTATGTAAATGAAAGGTGGAATAATTACGTTAAAGGCATCATCTTGAATTTTGTTTATACTGCATCTCTGAAATGAGCGTCAGATTTTTCTCTAGGCAGTTACTGCTCCTACAGAAACAAACACAGATGGTGCCCAAACTTCCTACTGAATAGTTTGAGGCAATGGCATTTATCAAAATACCTCTGATCACTAAATGTACAAAAACTTCAAATAAACTCTACATCTCAGTGTCAGGCCAAAATAGTTATTTAGGCAAATAAGCCTTTGTTGGATAATTCAAGGATTTTCTGATGTGTGAAATGGACTACTATAACAAATAAAAAGTCTTACATGTAAGCTCAGTTTTATAAAATAGGCTATTAACATAGGCAATTTCTCTTAGAGAAAAACATTACTTTTTAATAATAATTTAAAAAAAGAAACAGGTAATTTATTTTAGAGGAAAAAAATCAGTTTCTCTTCTGTGATGAGCATTTCTAGCCAAATTAAAATTTTGGGGTTATGGATGAGCACGTTTCCTTTTCCCATTGACCTCCTGGCCACATAAAGCAGAGAAAAGGTATGTCTTAAAAATAAGTATTTAGGTCTGGCATGGTGGCTCATATCTATAATCCCAGCACTTTGGGAGGCTAAGGTGGGTGGATCACCTGAGGTCAGGAGTTTGAGACCAGCCTGACCAACATGGTGAAATCTCATCTCTACTAAAAATACAAAAAATTAGCCGAGTGTGGTGGCGCATGTCTGTAATCCTAGATACTTGGAAGGCTAAGGCAGGAGACTTGTTTGAACCTGGGAGGAAGATGTTGCAGTGAGCCGAGATTGCGCCATTGTCCTCCAGCCTGGGTGACAGTGAAAAACTCCATCTCAAAATAAATACACACACACACACACACATCTCCAGATCTCTTTCCACATATGAGAATAGCAGGATTGGAATATGGACCATTTCATTATTATCATTCTAAAATTCCATTCCTTATGCTTTCTTTTGAGGAAGGAAACTGCGTCACAAAGCAATGCCATATCATAAAAGCTTAAATTAATCCTATAAATATACTCTTAATCCAAAGCTGCCAAACTAGGGTTGTGGGCTACATGAATTTGTTAAACTTATTTTGGACTTTGAATGTTAAAACATACAATCTTGCCGAGTTTCTAAAAACAATGTTTTATAAATGTTTTCACCATGTTTCGGTATACCCATCCTGTTACACTATTCCTTCTTCCCCAAATGATTTTTTTATTATTTTACTTTATTTTGCTGTGTTATAAATTCTAAACCAAATAACTATCCTTGCAGGAGTATTCTGTGAACTCTCCCCGTCACTGTCTGGGGACTGTGGCTTGTAGCCTCAATTTATGCCTCCACAGCGTGTTTTATGAAATGATTTATTTTTTTTTTCTCTCTCTGTCTCTTTCACTGTTTCACATTAGACTTGAAGCTCCATAAAGAAAAGACTGTTTTATCTTTGCATTCTTAGTGTTAACTAACTTCCTTGGCACCTAAAAATCATTCAATTAATATTTATTAAGCTCGTTCTGAACAACATTGAAAGTCTCAAGGCCTCTCATGCTGGACAAATTTTTGTATTAGGATCTTCAAATAGAAGGTTTTTATTTTTAAATATTTTTAGAACTAGGAATATTTCACTAACAAACATATAACAGACTGTTGATTTCAGAAGATGCCTAGTGTTTATACCCTCTCCATAAAAGTAGTTATATCTTTGTTGAACATTGATATATAAGGTAAATAGGCACTTCAGAGAACCGGTAGCACTGTAACACGTTTAAGACAGAGCTTTTCAACTCATTATCTTGTTTACATTCTTTTTCCCTAGAAGTCGCATCCTCTCTGCTTGTCTGTCTTTCTAAATTTAAGCCCTTATTTTCGTTGTCCATCTAAATATATTCTCACTGACTCCACCATCAATTAAGTAAATGCCATGTCTCTAATTCATTTCCTTTAAAAAGGATGAGCTCAGCCATGCTCTGTTTATTCTATTTATAAGGGCTCTCTTGCACATTTTGGTCCATTGCCTCCGGTGTCATTTCTCATGCATCTGTTTATTCTACCCAATTACACTCAAAGCTTTGCAGTCAAAGGTACTTTTCCTTTCATATCTCCTCACAGCATGTTCATAACATAGGCTTGTAAACTCAGTGTCTTCTAGATTTCACCAATCTGTGCTGGTATGTTTACTTCCTTGAAAATGAACACACTGACGTGCTCACTCTGTGGCTACATCCATAGGCATTTTGGCCACCCACACGGGACACAGCTCTGGGTGGTTCCTTTATTCCACACCAGGGATTCTGGGAGCTAGGATGTGAAGCATGGGGACCTCAAGTCCCCTTTGCCACTTTTCTTTAAATCAAGAAATATCCCTAACCTAGCTCTCTCCAGGGACTCACTATTGCCCTTCTAGTAGTTCCCATCATTAATAATTTGTTATCTGCCAAATAACCTGTTCATTTCCTTTGTAGCACTTATAATTTGTAACTATATACACATGTAAAATTTGTATGGAATAAGCACATAAAGTGATCAAGTTTAAATTATATATAAGTATGTAAAGTAAATGGAAAATATAAAGTAGATGGATGTATAAGTAATACATACAAATATCATATGTATGAGTGTACATATGTGTGTTTTTATGTTTTCGTCTTTTTTTTTTCCTCCACAGAATTTCTTCATCTCAACTCGCCTCACCACTACAGATCCAAGCCTAACACAGAGCCTAACAGAAGTAGGTACCATAAATATTTGTTAAAGAAGTAAAAGGTGAATGAATGTATCTACAATGGTGATGATTTCTTTCCAGTCATTAGTTATATCAGATCTTAAGTTTTACTGAACAAAAAGCATAGAGAGGAGAAAAATAGGAAAAAAAAAAAAAAAAAAAAAGAGCCAATTTTATCCTACCACTCCAAAATCTCATAGGTTTATAATCTATCTTATCCCAGAAAGAGGCTCCCAGACCTCTCAGTTTGTTTTTACCTGGAGAAGGGAAAGGGGAAGACAAGAAAATCTCTGCTGTCCACGGTTGGTGCTACCCACAGATAAAATCTATAACTATTACAATTAAAAAGCTAATGATTTCCAAGAAGTATAGCAAAAATACTAATTGGGCATTCCTACATTTACTGTTACAACCTCCTACTTCTTCTTTACCAGCACAATCTGTGTATCTTTAGAACATACTTATAGCATATGCACTTCTTTCTCCTAAATAAAAAATTCTGATGACTAAACAACAAGAGTAGGACATAATTACAGGAGTAAGTATTGACTGTGCTGTTTCATGACAAGGATTGTGAGCCAGAAGGCTTGGTTTCACGTTCTGGCTCCACAATTTTCTAGCTGTGAGATTGTGGATAACTTATGTCATCTTACTTTGCCTCTGTTTTCTTATTTGTAAAATGAACATCATAATAGTTCAGGCCGAGCATTCCTAATCCAAAAATCCAAAGTCCAAAATGCTCCAAAATCTGAAAACTTTTGAGCACCATATGATGCCACAAGTGGAAAATTTCACACCTGACCTCAGGTGATGAGTTGCAGTTAAAATGCAGGTGTAAAACACACAGTCTATTCAGCACCTCCCAGAGGAAAATAAAATTACCTTCAGGCTATGTATAGAAGATGCACATAAAACATAAATAATTTTCCTGTTTAGACTTGTGTTCCATCCCCAAGATATCTCATTATGAAGTAAATGTCATAGCAAATATTACAAAATCTGAAAAAAAAATTGAAATCCAAAATACCTCTGGTCCTATGCATTTCAAATAAGGGATACTCATCCTGTACCTAAGTCATAGGCTTTGTTTTAGCTTTAAATCGGTTAGAGCATCTAAAACCCGTAGAATAATGTCGAGAACATAGGAAGCACTCAATAAATGTTTACTAATCATCTTATTATTATTTGTATTATTATTTCTGTCACCATCTCCAAATTAAGACAGTTTTACTTCTAATACAGAGTGATTGGATTTCCATTAAGACTAAGCAAGGGAAACAGAGAGAATGTACACACTGGAAATAGTAAGAAAGAAAAGGGAATATAGCCAGGAATGCTTTCGAAAGTGAGGATCCTCCAATATTATTATGTCTTCTTAGTAAAGTTTTTCTTTTTAATTCTTTCCCCAAATAGAAAACCTTTCCTCATAAATCTTCTACACACCTAATGATGATCATTACTCTTATTTTATCATCTTCGGTCTAAAAAATTTGGAGAACTGATCACAGTGTACTTTTTAGTACCACATCCTTGCTAAGGAATTGTAACTGATTTAACGCTATGATTTTCATATGTGTTCATTCGAGCACTATTCATAGTCTCCATAGCTGTTGAAATCCTTGGCCTAATAAAAAAAGGCATTTTTAAGTTTGTCATGTATTTGACTGTATGGCATAAGACAATAACATCATTAACCCTTAAAAAGAAAGACTTTCCCATCTGACTGTGCTTATTCACTTATTTTTTATGAATATATGTTTTTATTTCAATTAACACATATTTAGTTAGATTCAATTATGTGCCAGCACTGCACTAGATATCTGGTTAAAAGAAAAGCAAATTTTTTAAACAGCGAACAAGGCATGGTAGACGAAGTATTTGCTTGTATGAAGCCTAGAGTCTAGAGAGAGTTTGGAGCAGTCAACCAAACACATAATATTTAAGTTACAAACTGAAATCACTGTTGCACCAGAAATAAATGGAAAGCATGAGAGAAAATAATGGGAATGGGAGGTGGGGAGGTTGAGGCAAATGTTAAGCCAATTACATAAGGCCTCTCTGAGGAAGGGACATTTAAGCAACACCTGAAGGAAGAAAAGGAACCAGCTATTCAAGTTGCTGAAAGAGCTGCATATTGCAGGCAGAAAGAATAGCAGTGAAGAGGTGGTGCGATGGAAGAGAACATGCATGAGTCATTGGGCCTGTAGCTGGACACTGGTGAGCAAAAGGGAGGGTTGGGAGGGAGAATTACACATCTGATGATGCAGGGTTTTCTCATTTGAATAGTCTCAGTGTAGAACAGGGTACTGTTACAAGGTATTTAAGCAAAGAGTTAGTATGATCAATACATGTTTCAAAAGATAACCTTGGTTGATGTATAAAGAACCTATGGAAAGCATATACGAGTAAAATAAGAGAACAGCCTAGCAGAACATTAGAGTAATCCAAGCAAGAGATATATGTAGCTTAGTCTTGAGTGTTGGTAATGTAGCTATCGATAACTGGATGTGAGAGACAGTTAGGCGGTAGAAATGATAGAATTTCTTGGTGGTTTGGATTGGAAATGGAAGAACCATGTATGATCCTTAAGTTTCTGCCTCAAGTCTTAGATGATAGTTCTATTTACCAAGAAAGAAAAATTGTGGAAGTACTAGTTTTGTCTTCGGTAGGTTAATTTCATGTTATTTATGTGACACCCCAGTGGAGATGATACATAGGCATTTGATTATACTGATTTATACTGATGTGAAACTGTTATATCAATAAGCCAATGATGGCCTGTGTGTATTGATCAGCAGGTTGTTATTTCCTCAATATATGCTGACACCCACTAGCCTGAAAGGCCACCAGGGGATCAAATCAAATGTTTACACATGCATTTATTTTTAAAATAGGCTACATAAGCAGATTTTTCACCATTTAAAATCTGGCTATTTTGCATATCCAACAAAACCTCACCCCACAGCTGCTAGCAGTAGATAAACCCCTTGAGTCATAAAGACCCAAGCCACTACTGCCCTTTGGAGCTCTTTGAGCCAGACTCCCCACCATGCCACTGAGCAACATGGCCTTGACACGTAAGCCTCCTAGGAGTTCCCTTGCCCTCCCTCCCTTCTGAATAGTGACCCTCTGACCCTTAGCTTCTGGACTGACTTCTGTTTTGAGGGACTTCCTGGACCTGAGAAACTGTCAAAGTAGCCCCCAGTAAAGCTACTGCCACCTTGTGGTAATATTATTTTCCCTTGATTAACCACACAGTCCCTCAAACGCCCTACAGAAGCTCAGAAAGATCTACCATGGAGATATCTATCTGGATGGAAATACTTAGCACAGAGAGGGAATTATGGCCAAAAGAATCAATGATACTACTTCAGGAAGAGTGCCTAAAAATAAGGTAGGAGGGCCCCTACTAAATCTGATGAGTTACAAAATTTGAGATCCAGTAAAGAGGAAAAACATAGAAATATTACCACTTGGCCAATATCTACTCATATTATTTTACTCAGGCCACACATTAACTTCTTTAAGATAAAACTCTATCTCCTCCTTCCCTCCCCAATCAGGGGTTAGAATGACAGCCTTGTTCTCTGCTTCTGTGGTTTTTCTATATAATTGCTTTTGCCACATATTATTAAAACTGTCTGATTATTTACCTATCTTCATATGGTACTGTCTTTAGAGGAAGAATATGTGTTCATCTCTAAATTCCAGGAATCTAGCACAGCACCTGACTCACAGTGCAAAATAAACATTTTCTAAATGAATAGGCAATCTGAACATATCAGAATGGCTGTGGAAAAGCTTATGATGATAATGTGGTGATAGAGGATTTCAGATGACTGGGGAAGGTTAGGACACTTTTATTTTCATGATGATGGTATGACTATCCGTTCTCTGTTCTCAGTCTGAAGTTAGATTCTAGCCTTATCCTAAGCAAAGGCATTAAGATATTGAGCTCACATGTATTGTACCACAGGAATAATATAGGGAGATAATGAAATAATTTAAAAATATTTCAAGCAAATAGAAAGGTAGCTAGTTCCATAAAAGCTCAAGATGGCATAACTGAGGGTATAATTGAATTTTATCTTAAAATATTATTACATTAATTTGGTTTTGCTTTTTTAAAAGAAATTTAACATAGACATTAGAATTTTAGGACAACTTATGTAAGATCTGAATCTGAGATGATTTTCTGTTCCTAATTAGAACCCCCTTTTGTTATTTCAGTGCTTTTATTTTTTTTACTTTTATTTAAGGGAGCAAGGCTGGTTCTAGCATGTTATGACTTAGGTAATTGCTTCTCCCTGTTTTTTACTAAGATACTTGTTCATAGTTCACAATTTGGCCATTGGAAACAAAAACTAACAAATATCGGGAAGTCTATGACCTCTACATCATGGCATTTACTGATTAAGGTAGAATAATAGTTAATAAGTACTTCATAGTAAAAATAAATAATTGGAATGCATAAAAGATCATGGAGGCTAATTGAGTGTTATAAACATATCCACAAAAGATCTTTAGACACATGATGGTACAATATCCTCTGCTTCTTTATGAAACAAAGTTGGTTGCAAGACATGTCATACATTAAAGGGAAACTTTTTGTATAAAATATAATCAGCAATTTTTTGAACACTGATTATGAGAAGCACCTGATTTCAGAATTTAAAAACTAAGTGTATCTTATCCATTTTTAAATCCTGTGCATCACAACTAATAACTGAACAGAATTCATTTGTATGGCAGAGAGTAATGGTTAACAAACATTGGAGTTCTGTATTCATGTTATATAATTATCTGCAATTATAGATAATTGTAGATAATTACACATTAGCTTACATAAACATCATGTTTTATTGACTTATCGATATCTATTTGTGAAAATACTAAGGTTGGTCCCTCCTTTGAAATATAAAACAACTGATATTATAAACCTAAGTATGAAAGTCTCCACACACTAATTTGCTATTATTGCTGTCAGTAAATATATTTTCAGAGTGACTTACCATATAGAAAGTATTTTCACCATCATTACACATTTATCCTCAGAATCATAAGAGTAAAGGTTGTAAAGATGATAAAGATCAATTGCA